AATGACTTTTCTCTTTTCCTGGGAGGAAACCTCACTTGAATGGCTAGTTAGTCATTCAGTTGAACACCTTAGCAAAGACTGCCATGCTCAACTCAACTGCATTAAATCTTAATAAATTACAGCTTTAAATTCACAAGTTTTAAAATTGTGTGAATGCCTGGGAACTTCATACAAAGTGGTTGCGTGAACATTTGGAGAAATAGAAGTTGGGATGGATCCTTTTAGACCCATCAGTATAATTCAATTGTGGCATATAGGTTTCTGGTCACATAGAATCAAGAGCACCCTCAAAATTTCTCTAATAACTTTAGTGTCTGGAATATGTTCAATTGTTTCATTCAAACAATTACACAACTGAGAATCTACTTAAACAATTAGAATTGCTTGGTTGTGCTTCTATACGCTGTAGAATAATTAGTGCAGTACTTCCAGCTGCACTTCACTAGAAAAGACCCATAAGTTAAGGAAAGTTGACACAATAAGTGCACATTCAATACAGACACTTTGCTAGCCCTTTAGAGTAGTAGTCTCTTCCAATCCTTGGGGATTTCTCCAGAAAGAGTCATGAGTAACCCACTCTTAAATCATACTAAAACTCTACTTGATGAAAAGGCTCCTATACATGCCTTCTTAATGAAATGCTCTACATAAATTCCATTTCCATGGAATCAACTCTGTTTCCCACTTAAATGTGTCTTTCAGCATACTCAGCTTGAGAATGCAGCCTCTGGGGTACCAATAAGACATTTCATTGGAGGCATTTCTTTCAGTGGCTTCAATAACTATTTTCAGGCTTTTATCAGGGTTACCTTTATCATTATGTCTCCAAAGATGGGCAAGGATTTGGGGTGTCACAATATTTTCCATTCAACCACAGAGTTTGGCATGACCATTGTAATATTGTTCAGCATTTCTCAATAATTCTGGCTTTATCTGGGCAATCTGCCAGCTATTTGCCAACTTCATTAACTCAGTGGGAGGTTCATTCAGGGAATGCATTGAATACCATGTTCAACACTACCCATTCCAATGCACAGTATGTTTTCTGTTTGAGAAAAATGAAACACTTGAAAAATGCTGGCAGAAAAGTATTTATAACTTGTCTGAAAATCTTCAAAAAGTCTAAGAAAATTGACTAGAGTAGTAGGAAGGCAAATCAGAAGTTTATGGCATATATGAGTGCTGAAATCATAGACAGACAACCCAGCACCCCCAAATAACTACTGAATTTTGCCAGCAAAAAGCCTGCATTTCAGTGGCATACTTCAATGGCATTTAGTGATATGACTCAGTCAGCAGTCTGTTTTTCAGCCATTGGAGTAATTTTAAGATAGGAATGGGAGATGTTTGCTTCCAGGAAGTATCTTGCTCCCACTCCTATCTTCTGTCCCCTACAAAGCCCCCCCCCCGCCAAAAGGACAAAAATTCAGCCTCATTCCTTCTGGTCACATCATAGCACCACCAGATGGATTCCTGTGCTTTTAAGAAGGTTGAGAGGAGTTGTATGCTCCAAATCCTCAAATGTTGCCTATCCTACCTTCAGTGGATTCTAAATCTGGAGGAATGCCTGTGCCAGTGATAGCCAACTGGCATTCTAAAACCTAGAGCCACTCAGGGTAGCGAGTTTGACAGGTGTATGTCATCCAACCCAATTTTCAATCATGTCATAATAAAGAATTTATCTATGATTTCTAATTACCAGGAAGATATGTCACACTTTATCATTCTCTTCCCTCATTATATATATGCACACACACGCCATAATTATGAAGCCTTAACTGAACTGTAATGCTGACATTATGCTCTACGGTATAATGGCACCAATAAAGCAGCTATTTTGCATGACAATCCATGCTCCTGACTGCTGGACACTATAGACAGTAAAATGGACCCCAGGGCAGAAGTTGCCCATTTAATGACTTAGAGATAAGCCACCTTTCTGAGGTCAGGCACCACACTTTGTATTTTATTATTACATTTTATTTGCCACAATAGCTAGGGAGGTTATGTAATGATATTCCTTTTTGAGGGACAGTACTGCTCCTCACTTGCTGTCAACTGAGAATATATTACATGCAAGCAATAAGGCTATGCCTAAATGAAATGAAATGTCCATGTCAACTGCATGCAAGAGAGAGAGAGAGACAGACAGACAGACAGACAGATGGACTTCAGGCAGCCTAATGAGTTTTATGGTACCAACTATACCCCTGAAATGACATCTGAAAGCACAAACCTTGATACTACAATCATGACCAATGTAGTAAGGATAACTATTTTGGCTGTGTTGATACTGTAACTATTTAACAATTTTAATTTTGGCATCATTTTTATTGTATCAGAAAGGCTGACTTTCAGTTATCCAAAAAGTTCTAGAAAGAACAAACAGCAAACAGAAGATCCACAACAGGCTCCTTTGGTCAAATCCAAACAACTTATATGCAGTCAGATGGAGGGTGCCTATCATTATCATTTATTACTGAATTACATTTCTAGACCACTGAACCCCTAAGTATTTTGAGCAGTTTATAGATAAGATACATATGAAACAATATACAATAAACAAAAGGTATACAAAGGAAAGATCCACAAACTTTGAACCTGTGAAAAACACAGAATAAAGTTAAATTAACCAAACCAAACTATAACCAAACTAGGATGGGGTCACGGCCCAAATGCCTTCTGGAAGAGCTCTGTTCCTAGGACCATCTGAAAGGCAGTTAGTGAAAGCCAGCTGGAAGTCCACCAGGTGGCCATTCCAAAGAACCAGCATGGCCATTTCAAAGCAGTGCTGTCAAGCCTTGACCCCTGTCACATCCCTAAAATGGAACACCACTAATAGTTTATCCTGGGTAGATTGAACTGGCTTGGCCAATTCCAATGGAGAATACAGTCCTGTAGAAAAGTAAGTGCCAAGGCATGTAAGGCTTTATAGGCTAGTAGCAACACTTTAAATTGCATCTGGAAGGCTGCTGGCAACCAGTATTGGTGCAATGTACTTCCACAAACAAACACCAGTCAGCACATGCGCCACTGCACTCTGAACCAACTGCAGCTTCTGAGTGATCTTCATAGCCTGTCCCATATAGAGTGTGTGGCAGTAGAACATGAGTCACTGTAGCCAGATCCTTCCATTCCAGGTAAAGTCACAACTGGCACACCACACAAAGCTGGGGAAAGGTTTCCTTGGCCATGGCCTCCACCTGCTGTTGTAGCAGAAGCTATGAGTCCAGGAGAACCCCTAAGTCATGAACCTGTTCTTACAGGGGTTGTGCCACCCCCTCAAGAGACATCATTGGAACAGACAGAGAACCTCAATGGACAAACAGTAACTCCAAATTACTGGAATTCAATTACTGTTGTCTCCCATCCAGACCCTCACAGCTCCAGGCACCAGGACAGGACTTCAACAGCATCACCTGTCTGGCCTGGGGGAGAAATGTAGAGCTGGGATTCATTAGCATATTGATGATGCCAATTCCCAAACTTTTTTCCCACTGGCTTCATGTAAATGTTAAATAAAAGAGGGGAGAGAACTGGCCCTTTTAGCATCCCGTAAGGTGGTACCATTGGGCCAGTTTCTCCTGCCCCACCACTACTAACTGGAACCGTCCACCAAGGAAGGAAGGAAACCACTGCAATACAGTGCTCCCAATTCCCAATCCCTGGTTGATGGCATCAAAGGCTGCTGAGTGGTCTAAAAGGACCAGCATGGATACACTTCCTCCATCCAGATCCTGACAAAGGTCATCCACCAGCACAACCAGTGCTGTCTCCACTACATCTCAATTAACATAACAAACACACACAAAAAAAGAACTAGTCGGTCCTTTCCAAACTGAGTGATTACATTCCCTAAGAAATTGTTCAGAGCCTTTGAGCTATTTTTCTAAAATACTCCACCATGTAAACACTAATCTACTTTAATCTTTCCAGTGGTACACACTAGTGATTCTAGTTAAGAACAGGTTTAGATGCTTGAATGAAAAATTTCTAAAAAAACTATTAGGAAAAAAAAACTGAGGAAAACTTTTCTTACAAACTGTCTTAAAAATGGCATGCTCAGAATTGTCCCATCTTCAACCATGGCCATCCCACTGTCTATGGTGTGGATCAAAGAGAGGATTGGATACTTGTATCAATCACCTGCTATGATCCTTTCCCCAAAGTTTGACAAAACAAATACTTTTTTGCATATACAACAATCCTAATCAGTCTTTCCATTCACCAGTTGGCCTAAGTAATAGGCCAATTGGAAGGCCATTCTTCTTTGAGAATAACTAAACTATCCTCTACAATTGTTTTACATAGGGAAAAGAAAACACAAAACCAGATTTCTATGTCTTTGGAATGGGCCCTAGACTCAGTCATGCCAATTGTTTGATGTATTGCTATTTCCAAAGTCTCTGCCAAGAGTTCATCTAAAGCAGGCCCATAATGCTATGAAGGCTGAGTATGCAACCTCATAGCTAATCTGTAGCCACATCTCCTAAAATGATGGACACATTTTTCCAGTTTTCTCTTGCCTAATGTCTTTGAATCAGAATACTCATGACTACTGGAGATGGTACGGAAGGATTTTTCAAAGATCTAAGCCAAGAACTAAGTCACATCAATTCCTGGTAACACCTAAATTAACACTGTAGCTAAGCAAGCATCAGAAAAACTAATACATTACATATTATTTGTCTGGACTGAGAGAAAACATCAATTTCATATAGGAAACAGTGTCCTAAAAGTGAATAGCTGGTACTAACTTCCTGTACCAAATAGGTCCACATTATGCACCACACCTCAGTACCATCCATGTTCTCTTTAACAGATAGATCCTATTACAAAAGGCCTAGCAGAGACTACAGCAGCCTTACCCAATCCAATGCCCTCCAGATGTGCTAGATTATATGTTGGCTGGCAATTGTGGGAATTTTATCCCAACACATCTGGAAGAAATCAGGCTAGGGAAGGCTGGGTTAGAAATTTTCTCCTTAGATAGCACTTACCTGGTTTCACTGGACATGGAATGCAACTGCTGAAACCCCAAAAGGCTCCCACACTTCCACAGCAATCCTCATACTTGGCCAGACCAGGCAATGGGTCAGCACACTGGAGATGAAAAAGAAAATGTGGCGTTAGAATCCTGTCTCTCCCATATACCGGGGACAAAGGAGATGTGAAAAAACATGATAGGGGAAAGAGAAGTAAAGGCATGATTTTCTGTGGAGGAGTAGAGTGCATGCTAGAGAGTTTGAATTCAGCAGAACCCTTGTTAGAAGATGCAATCCTTAAGATAAGTGGGGTAGTGAAAGAACACTGAATAATTAAGCAGCAGAATGTCCCATTAAAAAAATGCTCATAATGTAGGTGTCTTGAATGTAGTGTATGGACTTAGCTCAGCTATCACTGAATGCTAACAGACATTCACTATATTTGAAATAGAAGTTAGATTAATTAAGAAAAACATGAAGATAGAAAAGCTTACTTCAATCTAAATAATATTTTGAAGAGAGGGAAGGGAGAGAGAGAGATGGACAGGAAGTTCCATTGTATGTTAAACAGAGGCTCATTTAATTAACAATAGGCCAGGTAAGAGACAGACACAGAGACACTGCCCTTTGCCATTTGCCCTAATGGCCAAAAAGGCTCATTGATGCAAAGATATGATATAATACCCAATACTATAGCTAAAAAAGAAACGATGCAATCAGAGCCAGCTGTCTATTTTAAGACAGTAAATAATCTCAGACATGAAAATGAAAAACCACCTTTGTCTTTGTTCCTTGGAAAGTCAAGGTATTGGTATTAGTTATGAGGTATTGAGTTTTGAGCAATGGACCATGACTTAGAGATGACATAATCAAGCAACGCCTTTGGATAAAATAAATGCCTATTCCCAGACTTAAATATATTACCAAGTCAGGTGGTACACAGTTCAGACTTTGTGGGGACATATGTGTCAAGGATTTTTCATTTATTTAATGAGCCTTTCTTCCTGCCCCAAAAGGCCTCTGGACTGTAGTCTTCCCCCTTAGAACTGAGCTGTTGCAATCAACAAGCCAACACTGGCATTAATCCATTCCCAAAGTGGCCATGTGCCCAGGGCTCACATTCCAATAAATTTGGCATCAGCTTGAAACTGACGACAAAAATACTTTCTGCTCTGTTTTTTTGTTCCAGTTGAATAACTATAGAACAGAATGAGCACAACCCTTCTCATATAATTGTTCAGCTCCTCTTGAAACTACCTTTAAATAGGAAGGAAGGAAGGAAGGGAAGAAAAAGAGGGAAAGAGAGAGATATTATTGTTTAAATCACATGAATGTACTTTCCCAAGAAGCTACAAGGGAAATTAGCGTTGGTATTTGTTTCCTGACAGAAATTTTTTCCAAACATTTTATCGATGTCTTACTAACCACAGAATAGCTTTAAAAAGGGCAACCTTTAGACCCAGATTCCTTGAATGTATATTATGTCAGACAGAGAGCAGTAAATGCTTGAAGAAAATGTCTTAATATAATATATATTCAAGATAATCACACTTCAGGGTCTGTCTGAATCATCTTTACTTTCTGTAATCTAAAGAGCTGTTTGAACATCTGCAAACTGCTGCAAGATGCTTCACACTACTCAATCTACCACGTTAGCTCCCCATTTTGCATTCAAAAGTTCCTGGGGAAACAGAAGGTACCTGTCTAAAGCTTAGACACTTCTATGTCGTGCACTGCGACATAGTCAAACAGGAATGGAAGAAGTTGCAATGTTGATGCTCCCTATAAGGCAATGTAGTCATATGTCACTATCTTCTGTACGAACTCTCTTGCATACTGAGTTCATTCACAGTAACAGACACTTTCTTAAAAGACCTAAAAGTGTGGGTAGAAGCTTCACAGAAGAAGATCCAATAAGGTGAATAGCCTTCATGGTTCTTAGCCATGAGAGCTGGTATACAGTGGAACAGCCTCCCTCCTGGAGTCATTAGGTGCTCCATCCCTGGATATTTTCAAACAAAGGTTGGGCAGCCACTTGTCTGGGGTGGTCTGAGGACTCCTGCCCTGGGCAGAATGTTGGACTAGAAGACCTTCATTCCAGCCCTATGATTCAGTAATTTGTTGGATGATGCAAAACCTTTTTCTACAACAGTGTTGACACTCTGGGTCTACTTCTTACTGGGATTCCTGTCTTCTCAGATGGTGAAGAGAAACCATTTTCAACCTGGGGTGTCCTGAGCAAAAACAGCCCCTGGCTCATTCCTTTAGCTGGGAAACACACAACTAATATTTTTCTTCTCTTCTTTCCTCTTCTATGTCAATGAATGCCAATTCATTGCCAATGGATAAAGCTATTCTATGCTTTACAATTGGTTCTGCATTCCTGAGAAGTTACAGTAGAGCTAGGAAAGAAATAATTTGCCAATTTTTGATTAAAAAAACAAAAACCTGCCCATGTAGTTTCACATTTTAATTTGCATTTTCATGTATTTGCTTCTGGTGCCTTGATTAGCCATTTATTTGCTGAGGCATTAACACCACTTTGTCATAGAATATATTTTAAAAATAATAATAAAATGAGCATTTCTAACATTATATAACATTTTATTGAAAATATAGATGCCCAGCCAAGCAAGCCCAGTTGCTGC